CAGTTGGAGTCTTGTGTCCGGTTCTTGGCCCCACATTTCAAGGAAGATTTGGAAAAATTGGAGAAGGTCCAGAGAAAAGCAACAAAAATGATTAAAGGTCTAGAGAACATGACTTATGAAGGAAGACTGAAAGAATTGGGTCTGTGTAGTTTGGAAAGGTGAAGACTGAGAGGGGTCATGATAGCGGGTTTCAAGCATCTAAAAGGGTACCACAAGGAGGAGGGAGAAAAATTGTTCTCCTTGGCCTCTGATGATTGGACAAGAAGCAATGGGCTTAAATTGCAGCAAGGGACATTTAAGGTTGGACATTAGGAAAAACTTCCTGACTGTCAGGGTGGTTAAACACTGGAATAAACTGCCTACGGGGTTGTAGAATCGGCATCACAGGAGATATGTAAGAGCAGTTTAGACAGACATCTATCTGGGATGATCTAGACAGAACTTGGTCCTGCTGTGAGGACAGGGAACTGGACTCTGACTTCTCGAGGGCCCTTCCAGTTCTATGATTCTATTCTTCACCAGGGAGCTCACTCAAAATTTAATTAATGTGTTTTTTTTTAAGGAGCATAATCAGCCTGGAAGCATGTCCACTGGAATGTTGGCACGAAGGGGCACATACATATTTAGTATATCTGGTGGGTATTTACCTTCCAATATCATCTATAAAGGTGCATGGGAGTACCTGTTCTCTTTTGCAGATGACATTGTAAATAAACTGGCAGCCTAATCTCCCATAAATGTAAACAAACTCGTTTGTCTTAGCGAGTGTCTAAGAAGTAGGACTAAGAGGACTCAAAAGGTCTAAAGTTTTACATTGTTTTGGCTTTGACTGCAGTTATTTAACAATCTACATTTGCAAGTTGCACTTTCTTTATCATTTTTCAATGCCGATATTTGTAATAAAATATTGTAATATGAGCACTGTACCATTTGTATTGTGTTGTAATTGAAATCAATATATTTGAAAATGTGGACAAACACCCAGAAACATTTAATACATTTCAATTGATACTGTTTAACTATTGATTAAGAATGTCATTAATAATAATAATTTAATCACAATTATTTTTTAGTTAATGGTGTGAGTTAACTATTAACGATTAATTGACAACCCTATTTTAAAACAATCACATAGGTTGCAGGCAGGTGCTACTTTACTGCACATGCACCTGTTTCTTCCTTGAGTTCTACTCTGCAAAGGTGATTATGATCTCCTTGCATTCCATATATTTTAAAAATTCTTCATCAGTAATTAGAAAGGTCCAGGCTTCTGACCCTTGGGAGCACCAGGCTCAGGGTATAAAACCTGAAGGAAGTGCTGGGGTTTGGGGCTTCAGCCCCATGATTCTGTTCCTAGTAGGAATGTTAAAATTAGATTACTCAACTAATCGAAGAGTCGATGGATTTCCTTCGACTCTTCGGTTAGTTGATAAGGGTGCTTCAGCTTGGAAATGTAGCAAGAGCCCACTCGGCTGATGCTACATTTCAAAGGTGGAAGTGCCATGCAGCATTCCGCCTTTGAAATGTACAATAGCCCTAGCATGAATCTCCCCCCTCTTCCCCTATAGCTCCTCCCCTTTCCCCCTCCTTGCTGCCTCTTTCTGATAGTAGCAGCAAGGGGAAAAGCGATTAGTTGACTAGTGTGTTGACTATCTGATAATCATCTAATCAGTTAGTCCCTTACATCCTCAGTTCCTAGAGTCAGCGCTGGGGTGTGTGCACTGGAGTTTGAGGTTTTAGCTGGGGGCTGAGCGCTGCTTTTAACCGAGTGCTCCCTCCATAGCTAGAGACTCACTGTGCCCTGCCTCCACTGAAATTGGGAGTGGAGCTGTGCAAGCTCCAGCCCCCTGGGCAGAAGACGGGAATGGAGCCTCAAATCCTTATGATGACTGGGCAAATGTGACAGAGATAAAACTTTGAGAGATCATACATCATGCTTCTTGGAGCAGCTAGCTCTGGAACACACAAGGAGTGTGGCAGTTCTTGATTAGTCTTAATTGGGAGCACAAGATCTGATCCAGGAACTAATTCTAGTTAACCCATTTAGTAATCATGATCATAATGTAATGAAATTTGGCATAATGCTGGAATTGCCACTTGGTAATATTTAACTTTAAAACAGGGAATGACATAAAAATAAGGACACTTGTTAGACAGACATTAGAAGAGACTGTCACAAAGGTGAAATGCTTGTAAAACTGTGGGGATTATTTAAAAGCACCAGAAATAGAAAATCAAACTAAGTGTATTCCCAAATCAGACCATATAATAAGACCAAAAGTTTAGCCATAACGGTGTTCAGCAGAATAATTGAGGCTATTAGAGGCAAAAATGCATCCTTAAAATTTTGGACGTTAAATCCTAGTGAGGAGAATAGAAAGGAGCATAAGCTCTGGTAGGGTATGTGCAAAAGTATAATAATGCAGACCAAGAAATAATTCGAAAATCAACTTGCTATACCCACAAATACCAACAATAAGAAAGTACATAAAAAGCAGGAAGCTTGCCAAATGGGCAACAGGGCCAATAGAGAACAGAGGTGTTAAAGGAATATTCAAAGACAATAAGGCTACTGCAGAAAAGCTAAATGAGTTGTGTGCAGCAGTCTTAACTGCAGAGGATGTGGGTTAGATACCTAGATCAGAGCTTTTACCTCTGGGTAACAAATCTGACACTATTCCACCTTGATATGTCAGTTGAGAATGTTTTAAAACCAACTAGAAAATTAAATAACACACCAGGACCACATGGTATTCATCCAGAACTTCTGGATGAAATCAAATTTTGCAGACTTCATAACTGTAGTTCATTCTGTAATGTAAATTACTGTTGAAAGCATCTTCAGTATCAGAAGACTGGAGAGCAGCTAATCATAGACTTGTGGAAATGTAACACTAGTTTTTTGGGGAGGGATTTTAAATATCGGTTAATTGAATAGTCAAGTAACCTCATGAATTCTTATTGGTTAGTCGACTGCTCTATAGTATCCGGGGGATGGGCCAGCAGTATCAGAGGTAGCAGTGTAGCATGCCAGGCGGGAGCTGGTCTGCGACGGGAGACGGTTTTAAAAACTAGCTCCTCTCTCAGACCAGCTGCTTGTTACCCCATGCTGCTGCCTCGGATACAGAGGAAGTAGTGCGGGGTGGCAGCAGCCCCTGTCTGGGTCTGGGGGCGCGGTCTGTGCTTCCAGACGCAGCAGGAGCCAGAACTGAGGTGGCTGCCTGCCTGCCTCGCTCATAATACACTTCAAATGAGGGGCCTCAGCAGAGGTAGGTCCCAAACCCATTGCAAGCTAGGACTGAGTCAGGTTGCTGGCCAGCCTGCTAAAAAATTTACTTGGGTGTGGGGAGAAATGCATGTAGTCTATGCCATTAATCTATAAGTTTTTGCTTATCAGTTAATTGACTATTATTACATCCCTAATCCTGGCAACTATGGTCCATAGAGCCTTAATTTGGAACTAGGAAATTGGGTTGAAACTATAGTAAAGAACAGAATGATCAGAAATGCTGATTTATTGGGGGGTGAGTCGGCATGGCTTTTATAAAGGGAAGTCACACTCCTCACCAATTTATTAGGATTCTTCACAGGTGTCAAGAAGCATGTGAACAACGGTGATCCAGCAGGGATGTTAAATTTAGTTGAATCAACTAGTCAATGGATTTTCCACTGATTAGTTGATTAATGGATAAGGAGGGGAGCTGCAGCGGGGTTAGCTCCCGGCTCAGGAGCTAACCCCGCTGTGGCTCTGCCTTTTAAATGTATTAAGAGCCTGCTGGCTCTTAATACATTTAAAAGGCTAAAGTGCAGCGGGGACACCTAGTGTGAGCTGGAAATAAGCTGTATTAAGAGCTGTCCTGGCTCGCACCAGGACCCCTCTGCTGTGTTTCTGATTTCTAAATGTATAACGAGCCGGCAGGCTCTTAATATATTTAAAAAGCAAAGGCGCAGCTTCTGGGACTGGGCACTAGCCAGGATTCAGCTGATTCCCAGTTTGTGCCCGATCCCCACTACCCTCCGCCTTCCCTTCCCCCTGCGGAAATGGTGCAGGGGAAATGGTCTTTTAAGCCAGCTCCCCCCCCCCAGCACTGGCTCCTGCTCTCTCCCCCTCCTCTGCTCCCCTCCCCATCGCTGCCTCTGATAGAGGGGAGCAAGGGGGGGAAGTGACTAGTTGAGGGGCTAATCGACTGTCCGATAAGTTTTTGCTTTTCGCATAGTCGACTAGTCGCTTACATCCTTATGATTCAGTGTGTAATTGGACTTGCAGGAAGCCTTTGACAAGGTGCATCACCAGAGGCTATTATGCAAACTAAATAGTCATCAGATAAGAGAGAAGGTGTTCTTGCGGATCTACACCTTGTTCAGACTTGATCTAAAAAATGAGACTTTTGACCAGCTGATTTCCTTCTGTGTTCATGTTAACTTTTGTAGTGCCTACTGTATGTATGTGGAACACTGCATGACTTACAACAGCTGTTACACAAAACTGGTACCGGTGACTGAGGTATCCTATGTAGCAAAGCAAAACAAAAGGAAGCCACTGGAGAAAATAACCCTTAAAGAAAGTGAGATGGCCATGAAGTAACCCTAGCAGGCCCTACTCAGAAAGGGATTTATGTACATAGAGCTGTGAAGTGAGAAGTCTGTGGGACCGCCCTAGTATGCATAGTTGTATGGGCGCTAACAAGGAGGGCTGCAGCTGCCTTGGGCTTAATACTAGAAATGTTTGGCAAGTGTTATAGACATAAACCTCTGGGGACAGGACAAGAAGCAGTGGGCAAAAATTGCAGCAAGGGAAGTTTAGGTTGGAAATTAGAGAAACTTCTTATCAGGGTGTTAAACCAGTGGAAAAAATTGCCTGGGGATGTTGTAGAATCTCCATCATTGGAGATTTTTAACAGCAGGTTAAAGATACAGCTATAAGAGATGGTCTCGATAATATGTAGTCCTGCCATGGGTGCAGGGGGCTGGATTAGATAAACAGTTTAATTCTTCAACAGGTTTTGCAGGTGGAAGCGTTGTGCTTACAGAAGGAGATGTCACAGGAGACCGGCATAGTAAGACCCAGATCTTACATGAAGGCAGTTACCCGGTCACTGGGCTTGCCTTCCGCCAGTCTGGCAAAATCACCCACCTTTTTGTTGTCACCACGGAGAACATCCAGGTAAGATATTGACTTGACAACGCTGTAGTGGAGATCAAACTCAGGCCCACTGCTTGTAACACATCTCTGCTGTTCAGTGTAACATCTGAAAAAATCATATTTCCTTCACAGTCCTATAGGCTGTCAGGGAAGGATTATCTTCGTCTGGAGCTGGACACGCGTGGTTGCGGTTTACGCTGCTCCACGCTCAGCGACCCCTCCCAGGACCTCCAGTTCATTGTGGCAGGAAATGAATGTGTGTATCTGTACCAGCCAGAGGAACGTGGCCCCTGCTTTGCCTTTGAGGGACAGAAATTGATCGTTCACTGGTATCGGGGATACCTCATCATTGTTTCCAAGGACCGGAAAACCTCTCCAAAGTAAGACTCCGGGAAGCAGATGAGTCCATTTTACATGTACTCACTGTGCTGTCTTTGCAGCTCTCCTGGTGCTCCGTTGTGCAACGTTGCTGTGATCCAGAGCCCCATTCCTCCCAAGTGACACAGGGCTCAGTGGTCTGTAACAGCAACTCCTAACAGGCCTGCTGCTTTCGTAGTAGTTGTAATGGGATCCTCTTGGTGCGCAGCTTGGGACCATGGAACTGCTGTGTCCCCTTAACTCTCTCCAGCCTGTCTCCCAATAATGTCTTGGTAGTGACTAGCAGCAATCCCTTCAGTCGCTGCTGTCACTCAGCACAGCTGCATGTGGAGGCCAACACCTGGCCAGATTGTGTGAATGCTCCCAGAGCCACTCATGAATCTGAGTAAGGCAGCAGAGTCAAATTCTCCCAGGACTTCATCTCAGGAATGTACTATCTAATTTATTGACTGGTTCACTGCTTCATTAATGGAAAGTGGGCATGCATGCACCAGCTGTTGTAAAACCTGAGCAGATTTGCTTCACACAAACTCCCTGGTAAAGGTAAATAGTAAAAGAAGTTTGAGGGCAAAGATAGAATTCATGTGACACTTGAAATCTGGACCAATTACCTCTATTGGAGTCTTCGGGGTGGTGGTGTTGCCTGTTGGCTCTTAATACATTTAAAAAACAGAGGCATGGCATCCAGGCCCCACTACACCTCTGCCTCCCCTGCGGAGACAGTATTGGGGGGAACTGACTTTTAAGCTGGCTCCTCCAGCACCAGCTCCCACTCCCCTACTAGAGGCAGCAAGGGGAGGATGTCACGAATCAAGTAACTTCTAGACTATCTGATAAGCCTATTGGATAGTTGACTAGTCACTTACATCCCTATTACAGGGTGCTCCCCCAAGTATAGAATATCCCTAGAGGAATCCATAAAAAGTATCAGCGGAAGTTTTTGAATGGTGGTTATAATTGTAATTAGCCAGTGTGTTTATATTTTATTTTCTCTTGATAACTACCCTGATGTTTTGACTAACACTTTGGCTACGTCTAGACTACAAGCCTCTTTCAAAAGAGACTACAAGCAGATTTTTCGAAAAAGCAAGTATAGATGCTCTCTTTTGAAAAAACACAGTTTGCATTCAATAGCGCCTTTCTTTGAAAGAGTACTTTCGAAAAAAGGCGTTATTCCTCGTAGAATGAGGTTTACCACGATCGAAAAAACTGCCGCGATCTTTCGATTTACTTTTGAAACAACGTGGCTGCAGTCTAGATGTAGGTGACGTATTTTTGAAAAAACACTACTTTTTTTTGAAAAAACCCTGTAGTCTAGACACATCATTATGTATATTCACTAGAAATATGTTCTGATAATTTGTGTCAAGTTGTTAATTGACATCAGAGGTGAAGAAGTGCTTTTGTTTCAGACCAAATAGATTTATTCATTTGTTAACATGTAAATTGAGTATTGCTTGTTCACAATCCACAGTCTGAGCTAAATACAGAGGAAGGACTGTAAGATTTAAATGGAAGAGAAGAAGAGCAGGGGGGAGATACTTTATCCAAAGATACACTTCAAAGTTTTAATAAATTAAAATTAAAGACAAGGAGACCACTCTATATTGCGTCACCTAGGAAGTAATCAGGCAGCGCGATTACGTTTATAAAAATGCGGTCTTAAGGATGGGAAATCCTGTTTGATTAACCCATTAAAAATATTGTGTATTAAACACAAACAAAGTGTATTAAGCAGATGCTATTGAGAATCCAGCACAATTGAGGTAATGGATTTCAGGAAGGCAGATTTTGATAAGCTCAGAGAACTTGTAGGTAAGGTCCCATGGGAAGCAAGACTGAAGGGAAAAACAACTGAGGAGAGTTGGAAGTATTTCAAAGGGACGTTGTTAAGGGCCCAAAAGCAAACAATTCCGCTGTGTAGGAAAGATAGAAAATATGGCAAAAGACCAGCTTGGCTTAACAAGGAGATCTTGCATGATCTCAAAATAAAAAAGGAGTCATATAAAAAATGGAAACTAGGACAACTAACAAAGGATGAATATAGGCAAGCAACACGGGAATGCAGGGGCAAGATTAGAAAGGCAAAGGCACAAAATGAGATCAAACTAGCTACAGGCATAAAGGGAAACAAGAAGACCTTTTATAAATACATTAAAAGCAAGAGGAAGACCAAGGACAGGGTAGGCCCACTGCTTAGTGAGGAGGGAGAAGCAGTAACAGGGAACTTGGAAATGGCGGAGATGCTCAATGACTTCTTTGTTTCGGTCTTCACCGAGAAGTCTGGAGGTGTGCCTAACGTAGTGAATACAAGCAGAGAGAGGGTAAGTTTAGAAGATAGGATACACAAAGAACAAGTTAAAAATCACTTAGGAAAGTTAGATGTCAGCAAGTCACCAGGTCCTGATGAAATGCATCCCAGGATACTCAAGGAGCTGATAGAGGAGGTATCTGAGCCTTTAGCTATGATCTTTGAAAAATCATGGCAGACAGGGGAGATTCCAGAAGACTGGAAAAGGGCAAATATTGTGCCCATCTATAAAAAGGGGAATAAGAACAACCCAGGAAATTATAGACCGGTCAGTTTAACGTCTGTCCCAGGGAAGATAATGGAGCAGGTAATTAAGGAAATCATATGCAAACACTTGGAAGGTAATAAAGTGATAGGGAATAGCCAGCATGGGTTTGTGAAGAACAAGTCATGCCAAACTAATCTGATAGCTTTCTTTGATAGGATAACGAGCCTTGTGGATAAGGGAGAAGCGGTGGATGTCATATACCTAGACTTTAGTAAGGCATTTGATACGGTCTCGCATGATATTCTTATTGATAAACTAGGCAAATATAACTTAGATAGGGCCACGATAAGGTGGGTGCATAATTGGCTGGATAACCGTAGTCAGAGAGTTGTTGTTAACGGTTCTAAATCCTGCTGGAAAGGGATAACAAGTGGAGTTCCTCAAGGGTCTGTTTTGGGACCCGTACTGTTCAATATCTTCATCAATGATGTAGATATTGGGATAGAGAGTACTCTTATTAAGTTTGCAGATGATACCAAACTGGGTGGGGTTGCAACTTCTTTGGAGGATAGGGACATAATTCAAAATGACCTTAGCAAGTTAGAGAAATGGTCAGAGGTAAACAGGATGAGGTTTAATAAGGAGAAATGCAGAGTGCTCCACTTAGGAAGGAACAATCAGTTCCATACATACAAGATGGGAAGCGACTGTCTAGGAAGGAGCATGGCGGAAAGGGATCTAGGGGTCATAGTGGACCACAAGTTGAATATGAGTCAACAGTGTGATGCTGTTGCAAAAAAAGCAAATATGATTCTAGGTTGTATTAACAGGTGTGTTGTAAGCAAAACTCGTGAAGTCATTCTGCCGCTCTACTCTGCGCTAGTTAGGCCTCAGCTGGAGTACTGTGTCCAGTTCTGGGCGCCACATTTCAAGAAAGATGTGGAGAAATTGGAAAGGGTACAGAGAAGAGCGACAAGAATGATTAAAGGTCTAGAGAACATGACCTATGAAGCCAGGCTTCATGAACTGGGCTTGTTTAGTTTGGAAAAAAGAAGATTAAGGGGGGACATGATAGTGGTTTTCAAATATCTAAAAGGGTGTCACAAGGAGGAAGGAGAAAATTTGTTCCTCTTGGTTTCTGAGGACAGGACATGGAGTAATGGGCTTAAAGTGCAGCAGGGGAGGTTTAGATTGGACATTAGGAAAACATTCCTAACTGTCAGGGTGGTCAAATATTGGAATAAATTGCCAAGGGAGGTGGTGGAATCTCCCTCTCTGGAGATATTTAAGAACAGGTTAGATAGACATCTGTCAGGGATGGTGTAGACGGAGCTTGATCCTGCCTTGAGGGCGGGGGGCTGGACTCGATGACCTCTCGAGGTCCCTTCCAGTCCTATTATTCTATGATTCTATGTGACTCAAATACAGGAGCAAGTTTGTTAAACTCCTTCTCTTCCAGATCAGAGTTTGCTGGGAGCAAACCATGGAACTCCAACAAGCAAATCTTGAATGTCTACGACCTACGTAATGAGGTCATCGCATACAGCTCGGTCTTTGATGACGTGGTGGATGTGTTAGCAGAGTGGGGGTCTCTCTACGTGCTGACTAGAGATGGGAAGATCCATGTGCTTCAGGAGAAGGATACTCAAACCAAACTTGAGGCAAGTCACCTTCTTAGTGTTTTATGGCTTCAGAATTTTAAAAACTGCACAGATTACAGATTGAGAAGCCAGCTCTTTGGACGAGAGCTATGTTGGCGGCAGCAGCCGTGGTGGTGGTGCCATGTTGCTCCCCAGACATTAGAGAGACAAGGTGAGTGAGAGACTAGGTGAGTTATATAGCAGATGAGATAATGGCTTCTCTGCACAGTCGAGCTGCTGCAGGTCTCTTAATATTGTAAACAAGCCTGTACAGGCTTGGGACAGTATTTAGTGGAAGGAACAACTAGCTTTGTGGACACTTAGGGCATTTACCCGGTGAAGAGTAGAGTGTGTGAAATATGCCACTGTCTAGAACAGAAGGGTTAGTTAAACACCTAGTTTCCTGTTACAGATTCTGATCCATGAGCGTATAAATTCAAAATTACATTAAAAAAAAAAAAACCATTTCTAGCCCTCATGGCTGGGAAGGAAACTTCTCAAGTAGGTACCAGAAGCAGTGCATCAGTTTTACTCTTCCTCATCTCTACCCATCAATATGGTTCCTAACATTCTGTTCGCTGTTTTGGTGACCACTGCACACTGGGTGGATGCTTTTCAGAGAACTATTCACAATGATCTGCACAGATCAGTGGTCACCAACCAGTAGTTTGGGATCTACTTATCCTGACTGGTTTGGCCAAGAGGCTGTCAAGTGCCAGTACTTCAACTGCGCCTCCCCGCATTGCTGTGCATCTCCTGCCCTTTGCCTTAGAGCTTCCCCCGCAGGAGCCTCCTGCTTGCTGGGCAGGGAAGGGAGAGGAGGGGGCACTGATGTCAGGGTGCCCTCTATCATTGAATCCGTCTCCACAGAACGGAGGGGGGCACAGCAGGCCTTGGGATGGAGGGAGTTTGTTGGGCTTTTGGGAATGGTACAGGGCCAGAGCAGGGCTGAGCGTGTCTTAGCCCCACTGCACCACCCCCCAGGAGCCACCTGATATAAACAGTGCCCAGCTGGAGCCAGCTCTGAACCTCTACCCAAGTTATGAACCCCTCCTGCAGTCCAATCGCCTGTTCCAGGCTCCACTTAGAGCCCCTCTCACATTCCAAATCCCTAAGCCCAAGACCAGAGCCTGTGCCCCAACCCTCTGCCTCGTGAAAGGGAGGAAGGGGGAGAGGACAGAGTGAGCAGCGGTGGGGCCTCAGGGAAGGGGCACAAAGGAGGGGGTGGCAAGGGTAGTTGATTTGAGGTAGATTCTGGATTGCACATAAATTCAAAAAGTGATCTTGTGCTTAAAAAGGTTGGAGACCCCTGGCATAAATTATGAAAGTTGAAAAGAAATTGTGTTCTGTTGCCTTGAGGATGGGTGATAATTGGAGCTGGTGTGTCTGCAGGATACAAAACCACT